TTCTTGTTCGGGAAGTATATGTAATTATAGTACGGAAAATGAAATCATCATGCAGTGCTGTAAGAATAAGATGGACCCCCGATGAGTGTTCTCACTCTGTGTTTTACCTTTCATGCAAAACTTGTGAGGAGAAATTATCAAGGTCAAGGTCACTCGTAGATATTCTCTAAGTAGATTCGGCACTCCCGAAAAAATGAAACAGTACAAGCCATCTAACCCGCACTATGGAGAAGTACTCCTTACGCAGATGGGTATGTCAGTAGATCGGTAGAAAATTGAGTTATTCAGAAAACCAAATCGACACTACAGGTTTAAATGATGATAACCGATGAGACCATCCAACAGCATAGGATACGACTCCTTGGCTACCGGGTAGGAACTAATTGTGTCAAATTGGGGAAAGGACCAATGGACAGAGAAAGGAGTCTCCGAACTCTAACTAACCGCGTGCCCTTCGAAGTCCCTGGTTAGAGCTTTGAATCACTTTATGTCGAGGTAGCACATAGCGAAGATAGATGCTGAGCAAAACAACTAGAGGAGTTTTGTTTTGTGCACGGCATGCAGCGAGTGCGACTTTGCAATTCCACAAAGGAAGCAGGAGCAAGGTTATGCAATAACCCATAAACTATATAACGATGGTTTTGCCCTAAACTTATAATAGACCGCTGATGAACGGCGGCACTTCCTATTTGCAACTTAGGTCGCCAGCTAGGCAGATAACCCTCAACAAATCCCTTTCGGATAATGGTGCTCTGAAAACAATCGCAACGTTATTATCATTAATGCATTAATTTGACAGCATTCAACAGTACTTCAGTAGAGTTCCTGTGTCCTTAAACGAAAAGACTTCAAAACGCATTCTAAACCAAAGCCCTACATGTTCTGTCATTTGTAATACCTCGGCCCTCATATATACTTGAAAAGCCCATTTTCCTGAAGACCGTAAAACAGTATATAATATCTTCCCTTTTCAATTTCAGATGAAACTTTCCGTTTTTGTCTGGAAGCATCGCTTTAAGCTACCCTCCATAGAAACGATCGAACTTAAAATTTATTGCGCAAAAATGCTTTTTGTGCACTCATCATGCCTAAATAAAGTTTTTTTCATTTGATGTTAGCCACTCAATCATGCCTAATTGGTGTCGTTTTCAAACGTGTAAAGTCATATGGTACCTTTCCCGATACTCTTTAGCAGGCAGAAGAGGTGGTAAATTAGTCTTTGTGCACCAGCCGTACACAGTGGAATTCGGTCGTATACAAAGCACAATTAGAGGTATGAGGAGGTAAATAAACTTTTGTAGCTCAGTAAAACCTTATTAGCCTGCAGTGAGGAAACCACTATGGAATTCTCTAAAAATTCACTCAGGTTTTCTGTGCGGACGATTTTACGTATACGCTTGACATTAGATACGGGATCGTCATATAAATGAAACGGTGGGTATTTAAGCCAACAGACACAGAACGGCAGTTAGTACGTCCGGCTTACGAAAATATTTCGACACCAGATGTCTTATACTCTGGTATCCTGGAATTTCTACCTCAGCCTCGAGAGGCCAAAGTAGGGGGGGGAGGTCAAACCGTAAATGTGTTTAATTAGTATAAGCAAACCACAATCAACCCCTCAATTAAAGACGCATCTGCTCAGCGATATGGTAATTACGGTTCAGTCACTTTTGATAGCCCAGTGTGCAAAAGTGCCGGACGTGTTCGCAATGGACGTCTGTGTTTTCTTAAAAGCCTGCCTTCTTCTGTTACGCTTAGACTAGGAGCAAAGTGCTGTCACAGTACTCCGAGTTAAGGCCGAAGGTCAACTTACAAAGGACGCCGAAGGCAAATGCGATGTTAAAACACTTGAGTGGTAAGGAGGGCAGGAAGGCAGACTCGAAGGCCGCTACGAATGTTGCGAATGCCAGCGGAATTGGATGAGTTTGTGTTTGGGGCGGTAGAGCGAAAGGGGTAGGGGAGGGTTAGCAAGGCACGCATGGAATAGGGGGGAATATGGGATAGGGGAGATGAAGGATCACGGGAAGAGGAGGTTAGCACAGTGTTGTCCATGGATCAGGTCCGACGGCCCCTCTGCAACAGCAGCCTTGACCCGATCGACACTGACTATGTCCTCCTTGTCACCACGATGGGCCCGGCCGGTTTTAGCACTGCGTGAGAGCACGCGGATCGGTCCTTGGTAGGGTGACTTCAGCGGCTTTTGGACACCAGCCCTCCGAACAAACACTCGGGTGCAGTTGGCCAAGCCTTCTTAACAAAAACTCAGTCGGTGGACTTCGAGGCGGAACTTGGAAAGTGCGCGCATGAATTGCCACGAACGATAAACAAAATTGTCAAGGCTCTCGTCAGCATCATGAGAGGTTGGGGTAACCATCTCGCCAGGCAGTCCGAAAGTAGTGCTAAACACCAAGTCGACGATGCTGCAATCTAGATCCGACTTCAGTGCCGAACGATTGCCAAGGAGTACAGTGAACAGGTTATTAGACCAGTTGGATGAGTACTCCGTGGCACGCAGGGCGGTGTTTGGCTGACGGTGGAAGACCTCAACTATGACGTTGGCAGCTGGATTGTGTGCCGTCTTCAGAATGCTCTTGCAGCCAGGAACGTTGAGGAGGGTTTGGAAAGGGGCAGACTCGAACTGGGCTCATTGATCAGACTTAACCGTGGATGAGACACCAAAAACGGCAATCTCACAATTGAGAGAGGCCTTGAAAATGGTGTGCACCTCATCATTTGGCGATGAGATGGCGCCAGCTGCACGGATGTGTCGATCGACGCAGGTAAGGAGGTGAGCGAAACCATTGGATCGAAGCAAAGGGCCAGCGACATCGAGCTGCATGTGGCCAAACCGTGCGTCGTGGTTGGAGAAAGTCCCAGGCAAGGACTTGTTGTGATGCCGCACCTTGTTTGGCTAGCAAGATGGACACAACCGAGTCCAAGCTTTGGCGTCCTTTTTCATGCCACGCCAGACTAACTTTTACGCGAGGAGCTTTTGTCAGACTCGGATCCCAGGGTGGGAGAGTCCATGCAGAATTTGAAACACAGCTTGACGTATCGAGGCGGGTATGAAAAGGCGATGAGATGGAGTCTAAACGGCGCTACGTATGGTACCAGTACCGGTGGTCGGGGGAACGTCTAGGAGTTGGAGACCACTAACGGAATCATCTAGAGGACAACCGACTCGTTTTTGCTCAGCCGCCGTGGTGCCAAGATCGATTCCGTGTGAGAGATGGGGAGAAGACAATAAGTACCTGGACAACATGTCAGTCATCTCATTCTTCGTGCCATCAATGTGGCGGATGTCGTTGGTGAATTGGGAGATGCAGCGCATGTGGGCGATTTCTCTCGCATTGTACTCGTCGGAGTGGGAGAGAAGAGCAAAAGTCAGCGGTTTGTGTTCCGCGCAAACGGTGAAGTCCTGACATTCAAGGAAATGTCGGAAATGCTTCACAGCAAGGTAAGTGGTAAGTAGTTAACGGCCAAAGGTGTTCTGACGGATCTCCGCCGGCAAAAGCCTTCTGGAGAAATAGGCTAGTGGTCGAGTCAAGACAACAGGGTGTTATTGAAGGACTGTTCTTATGGCTATGGTCGAAGCATCTATCATCAGGGACAGCTCAGCTTCGAGATCGGGATGCGTAAGCAAGCTGGTGTCGGCAAGAGAATTCTTGATTTCCTCAAGAGCAGCCGTGCCCCACTAGTCAGCCCGAAGAGGCCTTTGGGACCAGAAAGCAAGTTATTGAGTAGCATCATGAGGTTAACACAGTTTGGTAGGAACCGGCGGTAAAATTTGACCATGCAAAGGAATCGCTGCGAATGACACTTGGAGGTTGGTGGATGGAAATCACGAATTGTTTTGTTTTCGGAGGACGAAAAGACAAAAACCTTCAGATTCGACATGATGACAGAGGAATTTAAGAAAAAGCACAGTCATAACGCACGTGGAGGGGTTTGTAGTAATACCAAACTAGTCTGGGCGGTCAAACAAATGGTCAAGTTTCTGCGTTCCTCGGCATTCTGGCTGACCACAAACAGATTATCAATGCAGGCGCACACAAACGGTAGGCCAAGCAAGGCATGGCCAATGAACCACTGGGAAGTTTGGGCAGCAGTACAAAGACCGATGGACATGCAGATGAATTTCAACAGGTGGAAGGGTGTGGGGACGACGGTTTTTGGGGTGCCGTCAGTGGTCACTGGAATTCGATGAAGGGCACGCACCAGATCAATCTTAAAGGAAGCAGTTTTGACAAAAGGGGCTCCGGCGAAGTCTTGAAGATGAGGCACAGGGTACCGATCAGGAATAGTGGTATTATTGAATGTATGACAGTCGTCACAGGGTATTCGGCCGCCCGATATCACCTTAGGTTCCATGTGTAGAGGGAATGCCGGAGGGCTTTGGACAGTCAGATTTTTCCTAGTTTTAGAATATGCTCAAACTCTGCCTTCGCAAACCACAGGCGGGTAGGCGCCAGTCGTCTAAGCCGAGCGAACACAGGAGGACCTATTGTGCGACAACGTCATGCTGGACTTCGCCAGTGCAAAACTGTGGGTTGGTAACGTTTGGGTGTTGAAGGGGCAGCTCTCGATAGGGATAAGCAACATCTGTATCCAGAACAGATGAGTGGGTGAGGTAGTTAAGGGAGATTTTTCGCGAACACACAGACCAGCTTTTCGAACTTGGAGACGGGAACGTCGGCAATAAGCAAGGAGATCGAACTCGGCAAGAAAGTGCGAGCCGAGGATTGCATGAGGGACATCAGAAATTACAAGATCTACGAGAACGACCGACGATGGCCAATGTCTAAGATGAGAGATAAGCTGCCAAAATTGGGAATGGGGGAACAGCTGGCAGCTTGGAGTTGAAGGCCCGAGCTGGGGAAGTGACAATACGTTAGAGTAGGAAGTACGATACTGATTTTGGCTCCAGTGTCCGTTAGGAAAGGCCTGCGTGTTGCACTGTCGCAGACACAGAAGGTGCGACTAGAGCCGGAAGAGCCAGCGAAAACGGTCACCCCTCTTCTCTGGCTGACTGGTTTCCCTGCTTGAAAATGAACGAACAGGGGGAGGAACATCGACGTGCCTTCGCACCGAAATTGGTATGATACCAATAAGTATGGGCTGTTCGAGGTCTCAGACGGGAACGACGACGGCTAAATGAAAGACTAAAGATAAAACTTGCAAGTTAGAGTTTTAGGGACGTCGTATCTTCTGCCATGTCCGCTATCTGCGTCTCAGTCTCCCCACGTGGAGTCGGTAACGAGGAAATGGAGAGCTAGGCGACAGAGGGCGATTGGAACCACTGCACCTCCAACAATATGTCCGCATTTTCGGTCAGCCGTGAGACTGAGAGATCTTCTGAGCTAGATGCCAGAATGGTTTAAACACCGGCTGGAAGATGATCTAGGAAGATGCCCTTGAAAAGCTTTTCGTCGATATGCGGATCTTCACGAAGTCCCTGTACCCTTCGAAGGAGTTCGGTGGGTTTTCGGTCACCCAAACACTCCTCGCGGGTCGATTAGATAGATAGATAATTTTTATTAAAGACCCGTCGGGATCCCATCAAAGCAAGTTAAAATAACTTTGCATGCGAGTTTTAGACGAGGTAGGCCGAATCTTTACAAAATGCAATTCATAGTTTCTGAATTAGAAGTCCATTGAGAAACATGGTGATTGAGGGGTGAAAAAAAACCCCTTACAAAAAGTTAAAAATGATTCGATTAATTTTACAGGAGAAAAAAAACCCTCAATAAAAATAATGACAGAAAAAAGCGAGCAGGACTGGCCTGTAGGTGGCGGTATATAACGGAATGTTGTCGGTCATCGTCAGGCTAGCAATAAATGTCAGCCTTGATGGGTACGAATGTGGGTCAGACAGGACTGGCTTGCATATGGCATTGTATACGGGATTCACAATCGAGATCGTCTGGGCAGGATTGGTAAACCGCGTCAAAGAGGCCAGACGAGAGGAACCCAGATGCGATCGGCCACAGCACGCTTCGAGCTCAGCCGAGCAGTGGGAAGGGAGGAACGACCGAACTACTAGTAGACAGTGAATACTGAGGGTTCCGCCGTGAGCGTCGACAGACCGCATCAGGTCGGAATGCGGGAGATGACATCAAAAACCGCGAAAATTGTCGCTATGGGGGGAGTGATAGCAGCGGATTTAGAAACCAAATTAAAAACAGGGGTTTCTAATGATATAATTAAGAGTTACCACTTAATCTACCACTAAATCCCAGGAGGACCCTTCTCGAAGTCAAGAATCTGAGTGTTCGGGAATGAGACCGTTAACAGTGCCTTTATGCTTTCCGGTGTAAGATGGTTGCGTAATTTCGGCTTGAATACCAGTAACTTAGGCGATAATCTAATTTCAGGCGGAAGATTATTCCAAAGGAAGGCATATTTGGAAGCAAAGAAGAGGGAGCGCTTAGATGTAGTACAAAGAGGCGGCGGAATCACCATGCAGGAGTTACGCGTGGCATAAGACCGATCTCTCGGAGTGAGAGTGTCAATGGGCGGAAGACTGGAGCTAGAGTGGATGCGAAAAAGGAAGCAAAGGCCAGCTTCGAGTCTTCTAACCCACAAAAACTTAATGTTCGCCAGCTGACATCTTTGAGTATACGAAATACTGGACGAAGCTTGAGAGAACAGTTTACGGGTGAAAACCCTCTGAACATTTTCGATTTTATTACGGTCGCAGGCGTTCATTAAACCGAAGAATGGACAGCAGTATTCGAAGACTGGAAGAACAAACATTTGATAAAGTCTTAGCTTCATTTCCTAGAGGGAAAAAAATTATGCGATATGAATCCACATGTTTGCGCGGAGTTAGCAGAGATTCTATCTGCATGAGGTGATAAAGCAAGCTTATTTGTATAACTTAGACCTAGGTCCTTTATGGTGAGGCATTCTGCGAGTGGGTTATTCTGAAACATTATGGGACCAGGAAGTTTGGAAGGACCAAAAGACATGAAACTACACTTGGATGATGAAAACTCCATCTGCCATGTCGAACCCCATCTGCTTAAGCGTACTAAATCGGCATTGATTTTTTCAACACAAACATTTGCCGTGTCCTTAGAGTATGAGTAAACACACTTGAGGTCATCGGCATAAGTAAAAGTTTGCGAATTTCCGAGTTCAGTCGAAATATCATTGATGTACAGAAGAAAGAGTAGCGGACCCAGAACCGTGCCTTGAAGTACGCCACTCGTGATCGAGTGGGGTGTCGAGTAGCTATTACCGACCATGACTTTCTAAAATCGGTTGGACAGATAGGACCTGATGAAGTCGAGTAGAGGCGGCCGGATGCCGAGAGCTTCCAATTTTACTAAAAGACGTCTATGGGGCACCTTGTCAAAGGCTTTGCTAAGATCAATGTAAATAACTACCACTGACTGCCGCTCATTACGAAGAGAAGTGATTAGACTAAGAAAAGCCAAGTGGCATGTTTCGCAGGATCTTTCGGGTAAAAATCCATGCTGACTAGATCTCAGAAGCCGATTAGCTAGACAGAAGTCAATAATTTCATTGAAAATAATCCTTTCAAGAAGTTTTGTTAGAGACGGCGTTTTGTGCACGCCCCAGTAGTTATTAACATCGGACCGAGATCCTGACTTGAAAACGGGAAGGATAATTGACGTTTTCCATGTTTTAGGAAAGAATCCTTTTGAAATATAAACCGAGAATAAATGACTGAGCAATATGGTAAGGTCGGACGCTTGTTTAATAATCGAATTCGGAATCCCGTCCGTTCCTGAGCAGTGTGAGTACTTCAAACGGCTTATGTGTTTCTTAATGAGATCTGAGGAGACATCAATTGTACTTAGTGTCCTATCTGAAAGTGATCGAAAGAAAGGGATCGGATCGGACTCGGTAGCAAGGTGTTTTGCAAAGAAAGCACTAAACAACTCCGCCTTGTCAGTGTCATCGGTGAGGAAGACTTTGTTATCATTTAGCATGGGTAGAGGTTCATGACCACGCTTAGAGGAGGACCGATGACGGAAGATGTTAGCGACGGATTTGCCAGGGTTCGAACCACTGAGAGCAATTGATTCTCTTTGCCTGTCGCGCGCTAGGCGCATCCTTGAGGCCATCTCAAATATCTCTGTGATTCTAAGATGAACAGATAAGGAACTAGTGGATGGGTCACGCAGTTGTCGCCCCAACTTTTTTAGTCTGTTCTGAAGAAAATGAGGAACAAGAGAATCTGAAGAATTAGGCTTGAGATATCTACGCGGCACAAACTCTAGAATTTCCTTGGAAACATTGGACATGACAGCATGAAGAATGGTTACATCGCTACAAGTGAGGAAGCCACACCAATCCAAGGATCTCATATAGTTATTTATTAAGTCGCTATCTACGCAGTCTTAGTTCATGAAAGTCTGAACAGCGCTTGCCATTTTTGAAAAGGCAAGCGGTAAGCAACAATGAATTAATACGTGGTCACTGTCAAAGAGGTCCTTTTTTAAAGCAACAGAAAGAGGAGCAATGTCATTGGTAAAGATTAGATCTAAAATGTGATTATCTATTGTTGGAGAGCGCACCAGTTGGGACCAATTAGAAAAATTGACAATATCTTGAAAGGGCTGGAATCTGGGTGGGCAGCTATTGGAAACCCAGTCTATTTCAGGAAGGTTAAAATCCCCAGTGATTATTTTAACATCGAAAGCAGCTTCCGAAATTAATCTAAAGATTTAACAGAGTTGAGAATCATCACTGGCTAAAGAATTTGGAGGATTGTAGATACAGCCAATAATTGCCTTTTTTTGCGGCGAGAGAATAACAGATGCAAAGCAGAAGTTTCCAGTGAATGAGGAAACATCCAAGTAATAGGGAGAGTGCTTTAGGTAGGATTTAAGATAAAGAAGACAACCACCCCCCACGCCTAGTCGTGCGGTCTTGGCGGTAAAAATCGAAGTCATCTATGAGAAGGGCAGAGTCAGGAATTAGTGAATGGGTCCAAGATTCTGTTACACATATAATATCAGGCGTCATTTCCAGAGCAATGGCTCTGATTTGGGCCATCTTGTTTATAACTGACCTGGCATTCAATAATATAATATCAAATGTGTTTCGAACGGCAATGCTATTTTCGACGGTATTTAAAAAAATTTGGAGGTGGATATGTAAGCTGTGAATTAATGACACTTGGGGAATAAGTACCAGTTAATTTAGAGTTATTGACGTACGGGGAGTCAGCAAGAGAAGGCTGAGTATGAGACCTAAAGGAGGTGGGGATATAGTTTTCAAACATTGGAATGCTAGGGGAGTTAGAACATGGATAGACTTGTTGGTAGTTAAATAGTGGAGGAAGGGGAGGAGGGAGGCTAGAAGGAAAGTAGGGGCTAGTGGGTGAGGGTAGGCCG